TCTCTCTCTCTCTCTCTGAAAGTCTCTATTGGTTCATAAAATCAAAGGGGAAAATACATATATATGTTTGTTTGAAGAGGTAAAAAACGAACCCTAATAAGATTGAACGTATTTTTTTTTAATACATATTTTGACTTCTCTTTATATATTGTATTAGTTTTGGGGATTTGATTAAAAAAAAAACTTCAAAAGTTCATTAAGAGCTGTGATGATGAACAGTGAGTCAGAGAGAAAGAATCAATGAAGCAGCAGAACGAAGAAGATGAATAAAGAAATCAGAGAGATAGTTTTTTTCAATATATATTATGGCTTTTGTATATTGTATCAGTTTTGGGGATTTAATTAAAAAAAAAAAAAAGCTTCAAAAGTTCATTAAGAACTGTAATGATGAACCGTGAGTCAGAGATAAAGAATTAAGGAAGCAGCAGAACGAAGAAGATGAATAGAGAAATCAGAGAGATAGAGAGGGGTCATCAAAACCTCTTCAACTTATTTCCATATTTATTTTTGGTATGTTTAGCTTCCCAAATAAAATATCAATTATTTAGGAAATTACGTGACAGTTACACGTAAGATTCGGACTAGGAATAGGCCAATTTGATCGGACAGAGTATCATTATTCGTAAATTATATATAGAAGTTCGTTTTTCTTTTTACTTTTTTTTTAATATTGCTCGTGTTTGTTTGAGTCTTTAATGCAGATCTAATGAGGCGTTCGGCTCTTGGGGCTTTTGCCTATATTTGTGATCGGCTTTTGTGGCTGTTCGGCTTTTTGGACTTGATCAACTTCAGTTGGTCGAAAGTCCACTTCGTTATGATGTTGGCACTGTTGACAGGATCAATCAGTACACGTCTGACCAGGCAATTGGCTACTAGCAAACTGATTACTAGTGGGTCCTCATATGGATGATGTATCCCCCTGAGATCTCCCTCATATATGGAAGGAAATATGCGTAGGACTCAGTTTACACTCAACAGTGTTGATTTCGCAGATCCTTCGTAACTTATGGGCTTGTTTTAGTTAAATCCTATAAGAATTCTCTGGCTGTTTGTCCTTTTCCGAAAGACCATGAATCGTATTGATTACCTAAACAGGATGGTTATCTACCGCAGCCTTTGGAGTTGGACGGGTTCGCTCAAGTTACCTTTGTTGTCCCGGGTTAATCAGGTAGTCTGCCAATTCGCCTTTGGTCACTAGTGCCTCCACATGCCTTCTTAAACTCTTGCAATCATTGGTTAAGTAGCCAAAATCATTATGGAATACACAGTACTTACTTTGGTCTCTCTGCTCTATTGGTTGTCTGATCGGTATAGGTATCTGAAAAATGTTTCTACCCTTAGTCTTTTGGTTTAATCTGGCCAGTGTCACTTTGAGAGATGTGACCTTTTCAGCTGTTCGAGATTTTTTCTCAGAGGTTCACGTTGGGTCCTTGAGGTGCTCGGTCATTCCTTCGGTCGGCTCTCCACAGTGACCAGAGTTGCTCTTTGTTGTCTGGTTATTTCATTTTCTTCAAGTCTGATATAGTTTTGCGCTCGTGAATTCAACTCTGACATGTTTGTCGGAGTCTTCCTCACCAGAGAAGAATGAAAACGTGAACCTTGTACCATGGCTATCTTGAATGTTTCTATGGTTGTATCTTGATTGCAATCCGGAATTCTTGAGGATTCCGTGTTGAACCGAGTGAGAAATGTTTGCAAGCCTTCTCATTTCATCTGTCGAATCGTAAAGAGATTGGCAATGGTCTTTTCTGTTTCTTGTTCCCGCAATATTGGGCAAGAAACGCAATGCATAGCGTCAAAGTTCGAGATTGATTTGCACAGGCGATTTTTGAACCATTCCAGGGTTACCCTTGTCAGACTGGATGGGAATATCTTGCACATGAACGGATCGTTGTGTGCCTCTAGCGTCATTTCCTGAGTATAATGATTAAGGTGCTAGAGAAGGTCTCCAGTCCCATTGAACTTGATGAATTTCGGCATTGTAAACTTCTTGGGTCTTGCAACCCGTCCTATCTCATCCGTAAAGGGAGTCTTCACTATTGATGCAGTGAATTCTCTCGCCATATCCTCGGGTGTTTAGGCCTTCAGCCCTTTGATTTGTTCGTCCATTTCCTTTCGGAACCTAGCGATAAAATCATTTCCCGATGATTGTTGATCGGCAACCGAGACTCATGCCTCCTTTCTTCTTGAATCGACATCATCTGAGGGTGGGACCTTGGTGGTTCATGGCCCTCCCATAGTGGAGTTTCCTGGGATGCGGGATTGACTTGCTGTTTCCTCGGCATCATCCAATGTTCCGTCAAACTACTGCCGTGGAACCCTCTGCTCGAGAAGAGGGTTGTTGAGCCCGGGTGCCAAGGGAGGGTCTTTGTTATGACGCTCGGGTTGTGGATGATCAGTGGATCATTCTGCCGAGTGTTGCTTCAAAGTCCTTCATTTTCTTGGCGCAAAGCGTTGATTTGTGCTATGTTAGCTTCATAAAACTGCCTTAGTGCATTGATCTATTCAGTATTAGCTTTCGTTGGCTTGTCGAAGGACGTCAAACTGTATTTGCATCTTTTCACGTTTTTTTTGCATGATTCCTATTGTTGTGCACGTGCGGCGTCTAATCCTGTTGCCATTCCAGAGCAATGTCGCATGAAAGTGGTAGAAAACAAACTTTTTGTAACGAATTCCCACAGACGGCGCCAAAGTGTAGGTGCAATTTCTCACACCCGAACACTTAAAGAAATAAATTAAAAGAAGGTATATGGGATATGGAAAAGATAGTAGACAATTTTGCAAGAGAGAAACAATGATGGGAATTCAATGCCTTTCCATTCTCATTCATACTCTATTTATAAGCTTTTGCAGAGAATTACGTGGAGCCGTTATTGGCAGTTTTCTAGACGTGCTTGTTTATGCTTACTGATCGTGCACCCCTTTCTTTTATGGCGGGTGTTATGGAGTTATAAGCTAACCGTGATCGGGCTGACCCGTTTTATGTTAAGTGGAGTTTCCTTCGTTAATCAGGCCGACTTGACATGTTTGTGGACTTTTTGTTATTGGGCTCCCAACTGATAATGGGCTTCTGGGTGGTTTCAATTAGCAATTGGCCGTACATTTATTGCCACGTGGTATGTTGTGGTTGGTGGGGAATTTTTCCTCCACAAATGATCAATTTATTTTCTTATAAACGAGACATTTGATCTTTGTAATGAAAATTTCACAATCGTTAAATGTTAGCTTAATGCAAATGAGTTCAAATGGTGTTGAGTCCAAGATTTTCATTGGATTGCAATGCGTGCAAGCACTTAGTTGTACCTCTTTTGTAATTTTTGTGTAATGATGCTATTTTTTTTTTTTAACCATAATATATTTACATAGTTTCTAAAATAAGCTTGGTGGAAACAGGTTTACTGGTCTTTGATTGGAATTTGGGATGCATTATTGGAGATAATCTACTTTCAAGCGACACAATTAATATTTTTTAAATTTGTACATGTTTATTATATAGATTTGGCCTAATATGTAAAATAATTTTGTAACACTTATAAAATATGTGCAAGTCAGCAGGAAAAAGAATACACAGCTACAGACTTCGTATAAAAAAGATGAGCAAGAAAAAAAAAACGAAAAAAAGAGAGGATAAAATGCACCAAACACCGTAGACAAGAATCAAAATGCTGAAGCCTCAAATACAGCTGCTTTAGCAACTGAACAGCTTCACTTCCGCGCTATTCTCCATATGCAGCAAGTGAACAAAATTCTCAGGAATTTGTTCCTCAGCACTTAATCCCAATGAAGAAGATCAACAAGCCAAGACCAGACCCGATTCAAAGAACAAATGCTCCAAAAAAAATCCACACCCTTCAAACAATTATGGCACACTCTGAAACTGATCCCTCTCTTTTGCAAATTATGCACAGGAATTTTATTTTGCAAAATAACAGAGCCTGTAAAACTAGTAGAAGGCCTTCCTCGATTCCAGACTAGTTTAGCCAAGTCCTTTTTTGGCAGAATGAAATGTACATAAATTTCGAAAGGTTACAAAATTAGGATCCCCTTTCTTTAGAGAAATACCACCAGGTCCTTGATGCAAATGGATTGAAGCAATTAACTACCCTTTGAACATGTTACATCAATAACTCCATAGTAAATTGTCAAATGAGCCAAGGTGAACAAAGTAAATATCAGTTGGAAGTTATTTGGTCATGCAGTGTCAGGGGTCAGCTATAACTCCTGTTGAGCTCCCCACAAAGTAAAGATCATCTTGGCTTGTCTCTAATTGAGTGCACAGGCTCTTGGTTCATTTAATTTAACAAGTCAACAACAGGCTTGAAAATAACCAGTTATAAAGTACAATGTTAACGAAGCCAAAGGTTGTTTCGACTACACGCATTTAATAGATGAGCCTATAAATGGTTCTCCATTGCCACTTCATCCATTTAACCGGAACATAAATAAGTGCTGAGTTATGCCAAACATGATTTTGTGAACAACTCATTTTATGAAAAATTTAGCAACTCTCTTAATTTGACAAAGAAACTCTCTGCTGAGTTAAAAAAATGGGAATATGATGGAAATTATATCCAATTACAGAAAAACTGCATCAATGAAAGAACATATAGCAGATCCTCCATGGATAACCACGATGTCGCCTAACTGTTGAATTCATAGATGCAAGTACAGGTGTAATGTTTTATACCTACTTCAAATGAGAGAAAACCTAACTATCTTATCTGATTTATGATTCTATTACACCAGGGTTTACTTCCCTAGAATGGAATTTCCAATATAGAGCCTGTCAAACATCAGGAGAAAAAGGTAAACATACATTATTCACCTGCAAGCACAGAAAAACATTACATTTGTATCACCACAAGTTGAAAAAAGATCCGGTCACCCATCAAATTTGCCACATCATGTCAGAAGGGACTTGTAATTGCATCAAAATAAAATCACAGCAAAAGTAAGGAAAGCTGATAAAATTTTTAAAATATATGTGCTACTAGGTGACAAAGGTAGAACCCCCTTGTACCATGATGTAGCACCATTATTGATTCCTAGTGAAAACTGGTAATGAGATGCACCCGAATGAAAAATTAAAACCAGACTAGGTAAGACCGTAAGAGAACCAAAATGTACGTGGCAGAACATACAGTGCTGAAGGCATGTTATGCATTTCGTTTGAACCCTCTCTGGACCTGTGATTCCGTTTCTTAGTCCTGAATCAATGAATTATCACGAGAGAGAAGATTGGATTAACAATGATCACTACTATACACACACACAGAAACACGTGATAAGCAAAAATGGTTCCTTCTATACATGTCAAGTGTAAATATAGTACTTGTCATGTGAGCCAGGATCCCGACATGATTTGAGCTTCCGGTCAACATGCTTCATATCGGCAGCAGTCGGGGTCTCAAGTTTACTTGCCTATAATGAAAGCCAGCAAAAAGTTAAAAGTAGGTATGTGGAGCTAACAGAACCATGGAAATGCTTGGTTCAGTGTTTTGAGAGCAATTTTCTCTCCCCAAATATGAAAAGAACCAAAAAAGTATATCTAAAATCCATTTGGTGGCCAAGAAAAAGAGGAAAATAGGTATGCATCATAACTAAATTGAATTACAATTGACTTGATATAGTCATACCAAAAAATCTATGGCATTCAGAGGAACAGTGAGCTCTGAGATGGTGTGTGCAGGATGCTGGTGAGAGAGGATGCTCCCAAGATATCTGCACAGAAATCATTTGACAAAACAAAACAATTTTTTAGCCAAGAAAGGTAGGTGAGCTACAAGAAATTAATTTGTTAAATACTTGCAGAACCAATTCAAATCTCTTAAAGTTGAGAACACCATGAACTTCATTTGACTTGCGCAAAGCAACCAATGCCAACTGCACCAAATTAATGGAGAGACACAAATAATAGGAACTATGAAACTATATAGAGAACAGACCATGGTATCAAACCACAATCCAAATCTGAAAACTGAAAGTTCCCCAGCAAAAGTCCTAGGCTATTTTTAAAATCAGGGGTCAGTGCTTGGTGCAGTGGTAAAAGCTGGGGCTGACAAGCTTGAAGAGAGAGATTCAAGTATGAGAACAGTCACTTATCCAAAAGTTAGGGGCCTGATTTATTCTCTCCACTATCTTTTCCAACCCAGGGATGTTGAAGCCTGTATGATCTTCCTTCAAGAACCTTAAAGATAAAGAGCCATAATCATGTGTCATGAACGTTATAGATATTGCAATAAAGTAATTGTAAGTACGTTGTGTAATAAGAACAATTTATGAAAAAGTATTGAATTCATACATCCAGGGCATTGGTTCCCTTGTCCATCAGATCGAGTTTGTTTACCACTCCAAATGTTCTTTCACCTAGAAATACCAAATAAAATATATAAAGGATTGATACATAAATAAATTGTTGGGCTTGTATACAAATGTTCCCATTAATAGACAAGAAAATTACACCACCAATTTCACTATACCACTAGAATCAACTTCTTTTGCAAGCTTTATAGCATCAGAAGTGGCCATAGCTTGATTTGCTGGAGAAATGGCCAATATAATGCAATTGGGCTACAAAAACAGTGAAATCCATTAGATGACCAATGGAACAAAAAACGAGTTGATAATGCAGTGAAATACCTAAATCCTTATCAATTTAGAGACTGGTTCCATGATGAAAATTGATTTTAATTCCCACAAAGCAGATAACAGAATAATACATGTTTCCATACACAAAAATGAAAATGATATAAAAAATGACGTTCTGTTCTAGTCTTCTGCGACATCAGTAGAGAAAACTCACACTTCTAGTTATCATGGTTGCTCTCTATGTTGACCAAAAAGGATCAGGTCTTCAAACTAATCTTCTTAAACGAACAACCATGATTCAGCCAACAACATAGTGGTCTTTTCCAAAGCAATGCCCTCCCAACCCATGGGCCAAAATAATCAGAGTGCCGTTCAAGTGTCTTAGTTATTATTTCATCCGGTACTATTATTCAGCTTGCTTACATTCCCCAATCTCCCTCAACACCTCAGCATTGTGCTGATTTACCATCACTAAGACTCAAAAGCTTAAGAGAACTTTCTGTTCTACTCAATAAATAAGATTAATGGTGCATTTATGGGTGTGTTATATATTATATCTGTATTTTCACACTACATTTTATAGTCAACTATATACGTAAAACCATTGTATATAACAGTCAGCATTGCTCTCCCCTCAATAACGCATACACTTTACATATCAGTATCTTCATGTACATAGATAGTTGTTACCAAAAGACCATTCTCACCAAACATGCCCCACAAGTTGGAGGTTTGAGTGCATACTCATGACTGGATTATAATTCTAGTCTTAAGAACAATTCCTTAATCCCATTTCCTTGGAAATATTAAAAAGTATTCTAGATCTAGTAAAATGGAAAGATCTTAATACCATCAAATTTTCCCTCATAAACACAAATATTTCTCTGAAGTAAATATTCCTCGAGTCTTTCCAAAAATTTTGATTATACAAGTGCTTATTTTCCCATTATAACAACAGCTACTCATTTGCTAGGAAATCAAATGGCTGATCCTCTAAGTTTCTGGAGTCTGGGATTTCTGAAGCATTCATCAACACTTCGTAGCTGTTAGAATGGTTATATTTGGGGCACACTTGTAATTAGCTTACCCCACATGGGTATTTTACTCTTTTATTTTAGTCTTTTTCCTTGACTGTTGCTATAATTATGGGATTAGATTAGCTGACTGATCTCTTGCATAGTTATTGAAATTATTCTTCCCTGATTGTAGCCACTGTAATTATTCCTCCTTGACTGTAACCTACCACATTCTCATGCCTATGTAAAGGGCCTTATGTACTATTCATGATTTATGGAATTCAATACAATATGCAATTTTCCATCTCTTCTAACAGTAGCAACTGGAGGTAAATTCTAGATTCATAGACTCAACTTAATAAATGGTCTCACCTTCTCAACATAAGAAGGGACCATGTTATCAAAATCTTCAACAATAGTCTCTGGCTGTCCTTCTGCAAAAAGCAAAAACTGTTGTAACTAAAAAAATTCCAGTAATTCTTATCAAAAGAAAGCATGAAAAATATAATTGAGATACGAACCCACGGCAACCTTTGTCAACCCAGGCAGATCTATTAGTGTTAAGTTTACAACTGCAACACAAAACCATGCACTTGATAAGTGTTGTCAAGCATAAAACAGAAGTGAAGAGAGAAATGAAACACGAAGAACACAAGGATATTACGTGGTTCAGCCACTAGGACCTACATCCACGGCACAAAGAGACCAAAGGGCTACATCACTTTATAAAATATTCTCTCTTAATCTTTGTATACAATGATCACCTCTATTTATAGGTGAAAGAATAGAGGTGATAAATATGGAAAATACATTAATGGAATATTCCTAGAATCAATACCATAAATCACTCCATTCAATATTCTATCAAAGGCTAAAATCTCTCCTATGATATTCTCATATCAAATATTATGTCAAGTAGTAATTGAAGGGTTCTTATAATAATATTTTCCAAATATAACATCTTCTAACACTGCCCGTCAAGCTGAAGGGTGTATGGAAATAATGCTCAGCTTGCATATCAAATCATAAAATAGATCATTTTCCAACGATTTGGAAAAAGACAATAAAACTGCTAGAGACATGGTGAATGCGAAGAACAATGCTACCAAACACACCGGTAGCCCAAATAAGTCCACATAGCACCAAACACATGGCGAAGGTTACGAACAATGCTACCGAACACACCGGCAGCCCAAACAAGTCAATAGAAACTGCCGGAGACACGACAAAGGCGAGGACAATGCTACCGAACACACCGGCGGCCCAAACAAGTCGATAAAAACTGTCGGAGACACAGCAAAGGCGAAGAACATTATTGCCGAACAAACCGGCAGCCCAAATAAGTCACAAATAGCACCGAGAAACCCTCAACAACATTTAAGATACTAAGAAATTAGGCTCTGATACCATGTTGTTAAGCATAAAACAGAAGTGAAGAGAGAAATGAAACACGAAGAACACAAGGATATTACGTGGTTCAGCCACTAGGGCCTACATCCACGGCACAAAGAGCGCAAAGGGCCACATCACTTTATAATATATTCTCTCTTAATATTTGTATACAATGATCACCTCTATTTATAGGTGAAAGAATAGAGGTGATAAATATGGAAAATACATTAATGGAAGATTCCTAAAATCAATACCATAAATCACTCCAATCAATATTCTATCATAGGCTAAAATCTCTCCAATGATATTCTCATATCAAATATTTTGCCAAGGAGTAATTTAAGGGTTCCTATAATAATTTTTTCCAAATATAACATCTTCTAACAATAAGTCATAATTCCAAACTAAAGTGAGTTGAAAAAAATAAGTAAAATATGTTCAAGCTATGTTTGGCTGGCATGGAATTGGAATTGGTGGAATTAGAGAAAAGCAACTCAAAAAATTGAACCAAATTTTTCTTCAATTCCACCAATTTCAATTCCAAGGCTCCACTTCCATGCCGCCAAACACATCCTCAGATGACAAGTCAGAGATCAGAGGGTAATGTATCATACATAATGTCACAGCCCATGATTCTCGAAAATGCTAATGCATTAAAGTGGCAAGGTCCTCGACAAGTGCTTGCACTAAAAGTAAAGAAACTAATGAAGTATGAAGGAAGCATTAAAAACTTCATGCCTAGGCGGTTTCATGTCTAAGCATTGTCTGTTATTCTTCTCTTGGGAGTCAAATCCTTAAAATTTATAGATTACGTTGAATGACAAGAAATCCGTGTAAGATAGCTGGCAAGAAAAATAAGCCAAGATGATTTGGCTGATATTTAAGACTAATACCTATTTCACTCTGCACCTAAGTTATAAACTCTAGTGTTGTATTTCAGGTCCCTTATGGCATGCAACTCCAATAAGGTTAAAAGTGGGCCTTCTTTGGTAGCTAAAGGTTGCTAAGCATAGCCATCTTTACATCATCATTTTCACAGGATATCTACTAAAGTTACTAAAATGACATAACACTTGGTATCCATCTCTATCTACAAAACATATTATGATTTTTGAGCTGTTTATGAGAATATAAAGCTTCCACTTACTCTCAAATTATAGTGCATAGATTGGCAGAGAATAGTATTCCAAATAGAACTGGGTTTGAAATCAAAAGGTGGAATTTTTTTTCCCTTTATTGTTTAGTTATCATCCTTCTTGAAACACTCATAATTGAGAAACACACTTATTCTGTTCTCATAAAGCAAATGCATATTCTTTCTCTAATGATCCCTTCTATCTATGCTTGCAGTCAACAGGAAATTTTCATCAGTGCACATGCTCTAATGGGGACTACAAGCACTTTAACATTTTTAGGTTAACACAAAAAACTAAACCCACAGGCCCTCCAAATTCCTTATTTGGCACTGACATGTTATAGTTTAGTTTATATATAATCACATTACAAAAGATTCTTCTCATTGTGAACTAAATTTCAGCATCTGTCCTTTTCTACCACTACTTAAACCGAGGTATCCAATAAGTTTTGTGCTTTCTCTACCTAAGCATCAATTAGTACAATAATTTTTATAAACAATATGACAATAGCCTAATGACCATCATAATTCCACTTCCATGCTAACATGGATCTAGCAGGTTTGAATTTGTTACTAAAATGATGGAACACAATATATCTGTCAGCTTTTTTGTTACATTATGCTGGACAGAAAAGGCTAAACTAGAAGCATGGTAGGTTTACTCTACAAATGAGAATGCAGATTGGAGAAAAATTATGTTGGTCAAGATAGATATTTATAATAATTTTTGGGATTCTGCCTTAATTACGATCTCAGTAATATCACATTGTAGCGTCTTCTCCAAGAAAATTGTTAGTTAATTTTAAAGGCACACAACTTAAAAGAATTGACAAACTCTAGTACATAACTCCTTGAAATAATATCATACTACCCTGAGGGGTAAAAGACTTATTATGTAGAAGTTACTACAGTAGAAAGAATTGTATAGCCTATAGGAGAGCAGGCCTATATCCACGGCAAAGACATGATAAATAAATGTGAAAGAACACCAATAGCCTTAATGGAATACACGGTTCAATAACATGACAAGGGAAGGAACATAAAAGAAAGGGAAAATAGAAAAACAAACATACACACTGCTAAATAAGCAGCAAAATTTACTTCTTTGTGCCATATTTTGTTTCCATTTGGTATAATTAGAATCTAGAGCAAATGTTGATGAACATTACCGAAGACCATTGCCCAAGGTTTTCCCATCAATTCAGAGTGGTAGGAGGGGTGGACTGGCTATAATCCGGCCCCCAGCTTTATACGCATCTGGTAGTATGATTGGATCTCTATGCCAATAAAAGCTATAATGGCACAGAACCCTGACTCTGAATGGATATGTTCAATAAAATAATGAAAACATAAACCCTATATCTTTCAATATAGGTGTAAATAGAAATTAAGATAATTAAAAGAATTTAATAGATATTTCTATATTTAATATGAACTGAGAGAGGGAGAGAACTTCAGTATTTTCAAATGAAACAAGATTCATGCAATCAAGATCATATAAGTGGTTGCATCCGCAAGAAGAGGAGTTGCATTGTCCATGTTGTGGGTGTAACAAGGATGAAGGAAAAAACAAAAAGAACGTGGATTGGAGCAGTGAGGAATAACATGGTTGATTCCTGAGCAGGGAAAAAAGGAGGAAAGAATGACATGGCTCAAAAGGACGTATGGCCCTAGAATAAACAGAGTGGCATAATAAGATTTTTGTAGATGACCCATAAAGGGATAAAGCACATTCAGTTGAGTTGCAGATACCATTGCAAGTATCAGATGAAGATATAAAAAAAGCATATACAATAAACAGATATAGTTCAAATATTCAGTACAACATTACTATTCGGTGATACGAACCAAGACTCGGGTACTAGATAAGAGCAGAGTGAATACAAACCATTTGGAGAATGTATGCTCAAGTGAATTGGAATATTAGAGATTTGCTTAGACTTCCCAGTTATACGATCTGTTTCATCTTGGATCTCCTTACGCATAGCAGCTGCATAAGCAAAAATAAATAAACAAAATTAGTGTTCATCAATAAATGCAGAATTGTATTTCAAATCAGTTATAAAACTTTACTACGTATTCAAACAAAGGAGAGTAAAGATAATTATAGAGCACGCCTAGCTTCATAAACTTGGAAGAAAAAAAGTCACTGCTGAATACAGTCTGATAAGCAGAATCATTTCAGGATGATATTACTTGAGAAAAAGGAAAAAATGATGCCAGTCATTCGGAAGTTTCCTACATAACCTGATTTATGAGTTTATCGGCTTAATTGATTCAGGTGTTCATTAAGAGTTTCCTCCATCAGAATATTAACAGAACAGGGATGAGAGACTCAGTAGATTCTTTACATATACTATAATAGACAAGATAAATCAGTGATGAATAATGACAAATGTCAAGTGATTAAATCTTGGGCCATCACCAGAATCAAACCTCTAACTCCTAAGTACTGTAATTTTGTAATAACTGGAAAATAGATCAAAGATATAGAAATACTAGACTGGTATATTATAATTGCGATGAAAATATGGACCAAGAAAAAAAAATGAGGTAGTGAAGGAGTAGAAATATAAAAAAAAAAAAGAAAGAAAAGAGAAATATGTAATATGTTTGAATGAGATTTAATAATATGTAAAGGCTTGAATGATATCAATCACTCATTCACAGCTCTAGTATTTATAGATAAAATAAGAGCACATGCTCATATTATAAGAAAAGAAATTAAATCAAATATAAATCAGATCTTTGCTAATATGGTAAGTCATTCCATAAATCATGGCTATCATATATGCTAACATATGCATAAGCAAATCTATGCTAATATGGTAAGTCATTCTATAAATAGTGGCTATCATATATGCTAACACTCCCCCTCAAGTTGGCGCGTGGATATCTGAAACACCCAACTTGGACAACGCATCTTCAAACACAGTCTTGCTAGCATCCTTCTTCAGAATCTACAAGTTGCAGAGTGCAAATCTGACTAGATTAAAAATGTCAATCGACAAACCAAAAATGTCTCCTCAAACCATAAACAATTAATAATGTCTACTCAAACCGTAAACAACCAATCACATCTACTTAGACCGTAAACAACCAACAATGTCTCCTCAGACTGTAAACAAATAACAATATGTCTCCTCAGACCATAAACAAACAACAATATGTCTCCTCAGACCGTAAACAACCAACAATGTCTCCTCAGACCATTCCCCATCACATGTTTAAAACATGTAGATGGAAGAATCAACAATGTCTCCTCAGACCATTCCCCTTTATACATATGTTTAAACAATGTAGAAGAAAGAATCAAAAATGTCTCCTCAGACCATAAAAAAGAAACAACTATATCTCCTTAGACTGCTTCTGAATGGGTGGGTGCCGAACTCGCAATGCCCTTATTGTAGTCGGACCACCCTAACTCTGATACCAAGAAGAAATACAATATAGAAGGAAAAGGAGAAAAATGAGATAATTGTGTAAAAGGTTTGAATGAGATTTAATAATATGTAAAGGCTTGAATGATATCAATCACTCATTCACAGCTCTAGTATTTATAAATAAAATAAGAGCACATGCTTATATTACAAGAAAAGAAATTAAATCAAATCTAAATCAAATCTCAACTAATATGGTAAGTCATTCCATAAATCATGGCTATCATATATGCTAACATATGCATAAGCAAATCTATGCTAATTTGGTAAGTCATTCCATAAATCGTGGCTATCATATATGCTACTAGAAGTAATTAGCACATGATTGGCCCCTAACAATGAGAACTACTTTTGGGGAAGAAATTGTAAGAAGCCATTCTTTCTATGTATTGGTTGTCAAATCAATCACTGAAGAAGGAATTCCTTTTCTAGTTTGCTTTCTGGAAATAGAGTCCCACTATGTGTTGGAGTAAGCCCATTCATAACTTCCAAGTGGCAAGGAGATGAAGGTACTCAATCTTCATGAACATAAGCAAGGTGGTGCAAACCCATATGAACATATACAAGATTCACTACTTTGTATTACTAAAAGCAGAATATATAATAAGGAAGCAAAAATACATTTCTTTCTACCACCATCCTATCAAGAGCCCACAGCTACATTAGCCATTCAGTGCATTATGATTAGCTAATCTCAATTCTCAAGGGAACAGACATAAAATAAAATTTGAAAACAGAATATTATGTACATTAACCAATTGCCTCCAAGAAATTGTTAATGTGCTATAAAAGTTTGTGCCTTGAATGACTAGCAGTGGGCAGCATCACGGCCATAGAATGGCACCAGGTGGTGCCGAGGCAGCCAATATCTTCAGTGAACTTTGTTGTGGTCCAATGGGATGCCTTCAGTCGATGTGTCAATGGGGTTCAGCAGTGGTCACCTCTACCGAGTTGGTCTAATAAGGAATTACCAAGTCATAGAGAGCAGATATCATCCTAGAATCATGCAACATGCGATATATCCCTTGATATCAACTCCACCAAACTTCGGCCACCAAGCAAATTTTTCTAAAATCCCAGTGGGTTAGTATGACATGTCCACAACCACGAGATAGGCCACATCGATAGCTGGAAAGTGGGATATCACATGACTGCATACCAAGAGGTAGCCACATTAATAGCCACACCCCGAGCTATACACAATGTCCTTCTCTCAACCTATAAAATGCGTGAAGTGTATCAGGATGCAGTGGGTTTTGTTTCAGGTATATCTGGAGAAGGCAACAAGGTGTGTCTAAGGAGAAAGACAACTTTCAATCTCATATGTGTGTTTATGGACAAGGCAGGTGTTTATGGACAAGGCAGGGGTCCCATTAAATTATCATATGTAGCTATGGAGAAGGTAGCAAGGTCTGTCTGCAATCAGGCTTGTATTGATACGCCTACGGAGAAGATAAAAGATAATAATAAGAAGATCGGGGACTATCTGTGGAAATAGGCTGTGCACGGTCAGAAAAATGTTGAATCGAGCCACATTGGGGCAGAAACCTACCACAGATAATAAGCCTGTATGAAAGGTGAAGACAACAGATCTATTGGAGATCAAAATTATGCCTGTTAATGACAATATAAGTCTGTTACACAAAAGTCTGCTGAGAAGGCATAAGACAGCTAGATTATTGGACGCAGAGTCAGAGAATGGTGTGGTCAAGTTTCCTGGAGTCATGATGTAGAGTTGCATGGTAGGGATGCCTTCACCTCGACAAGTAGTCTTGAGGTGGTGTGGTATTTAAGTCATAACTGAATAAAGAATTCAGGAAATCTAACAAAAGGAAGAAAGAATCAATCAAATCTTGCTTGGTCTGCGCTGGGAACCCAAATGATTCATATATATGCCATGTGTAGGAGTGATAAACCATGGATGTTGTTCCAATTGGAGATACCATGTGTCGGATGTGTAGGAAGGCGTAGGTGTGGCCGTGGAACGAATATAATTGTCTCTTATGTAACTTTTATCACTAATCCTACATAGAGACTTCCTTGGAGACGTTATGAAGTAGAAGGGGAAGTCACACTTGGGCTGCCACCTCAGTGCCACATGGAGAGGTGATGTATGCCACCTTCTCACAAAATGAAGCATTAAGTCAGGTATCTACAGTCACGGATACAGTGATAGTACAGAACTGCTGATATTGAATGAGAGACCTAATTTCTAGACAAGGTTAAGCAGGGAAGATAAAAGGTACAATTCGAGCTATTAAAGATAGATTAATCTGTATGTTGCAGTTAAGCAGGTAAGTTAACTGCGTCAAAAAACTCAGAAAAAACTTTGATCTTTAATTTAGAATATTAAGTTCACGTTGAAAAGAGTGCACCATGCCCCAATCTCATTCTCAAGTCTCATGCCATACTAGTATCCAAACACCATTGTTTGTGGCAAAAAGTCATTTTCATAAACAATTAAGTAAAATAAATGGAGGATCTCTTCTTAAACGTGTTACATATTCATTTCAGTTGTCTCTCCGTGAACCGTAAATAAGCCAGTTTTTAAGTCTAACAAAAAACACAGTGACCGGTAAAGCAAGAATCTTCATTTCAAATAGAAAGTAAATGTCAAATTTAGGAACACAATAAAATCATCATTTCAACATTACACAAACACACACATACACATATATGTCAAACCCAAGAAAAGAAGATGTTTCTCAAAATTCAGCTCACCAAAATCAGTAAACTTCCTTTTCGGTGCATGAAGAAATTCTGCATATTCAGTTCCCCCTTCCATCTTATTTAGCTGCAACACCAATGGTCTCCTTGTAACAATACCTTACATTTTAAGAAATCAAAGTGAAAACAAACTATGGTTAAAGAAAAACAACATGCTATTTTTCACGATCGAGTTGTCATGACTATAAATCATGACTGCTACTGATGGGAAAAGGGGCTTTTTTGGTTTGAAATTCGCAGAAAAATGGCAGCCAATCCAATTTGATATTGAAGCAAATAGCAATAGGTAATGGCTGCATGAATTTTAATGCCTAAAAAATTGCTAACATTGTGTTTGGTTGCGAAGATAACAAAGAAAAACATGAAGAAAAATAAATGCCGTTTCTTAAAACTGAAAAGCTCAGCCTAATTGACCCAACAACTTCATAATGTGAAGTTTAGGGATTTAAAATATATTAATTTACACCTCTTTTCCCTTCATTTTCTCATCAAAAAACAATAATGCATAACTAAATAATCGACATTAGACATTACATAAATATCAAACACAGATCCAAATATAGATAAACGAGAATTACCAGATCCACGAGGCAGAAAATCTCTTCCGACGACACTTTCCAACACCGACGATTTCCCGGAACTCTAATACCCACCAAAACAATCGATTGAGAAGAAACCAAAGCAGAGAAATCATAAAATGCAGAAGAGACTGAAAGGAAAGTGTGACCGACCTGGCCTCCGACGACGGCCACGGAAGGAAGGGCATATCAGGATGAACCAATGTGAATGAGTGTAAGCTTCGTTGCCCGAACACGATTGGTGCTGACCACACTAGGCGCTACCGCTTCCCAGAGGGACATTCCTTCGCCTCCATGACAGTGCAGGCTCGTTGTATTCTATTGACGAGTCCGATAAAAACTCTCCAATCTTGCCATTATGGATGGAATGCGGTGAAGATCTGATCTAATCTGATCTGAGTTTTGTGTAAAATAGGAAGAATGAAAGGAGAGATTGGAAATAGAATAATGTTAGTGGATCCAGAACTTCTTCAGATGCAGATATTGAAATATCAGATTTAGATGAATGTAAGAGAGAGAGACAGAAAACGGTTGAAGACGAGGTGGTTGCAAAATCAACTTTTCTGAAATTTTGGAACCTACTTTTTTTCCCCGCGAAAATAACATAAGAAGAAAAAGATGTAACAAACAGTGTTTTGAGTCCAAATTATAACAAAACTAAACTAATTTAACATTTCAAATAAATTAATATGTGTGTGTGTACACACACACCCACACGCATATATATATATATATCCAATTGAAACTAATTGCCCAACTCAGTTTGACAGTTTAACTACTGTGGTGAGAATGAAAAGTATTTTTCATAAAGTTACAATTATAATAATTCAATTATGATCCTTGATTATCTGGTCACAATAAATTATTTTTATCCTTTGTCTATAATTTAATGTAAATGTTTCCTAGCCGAATCTCTTTTTTTTTTTTTTTTTTTTTTTTTTTTTTAAAAAACGTTAATTGTTCTGATTCTATGTATTGGATCATTTGCAATTAAAGAATCATCCTTAATACACTGGGAAGAACAGACAATTAATAGCATATCATACATTTATTATCCCTTTTTTTTTTCCACATAAGATTTTTTTTTTTTTATCTTGTACAGAAAAAAATAATAATAATAAGATTTTAGTACCGAAGATCAAATAAAATTGATATACCATGTTCCAGGGGCATAATCACGTTGGTAGGGGTTCGGAAGATAAGTTCTTGAGGTCTCGCTTTTGAACCGTACTCCTAATTTGAATTATGTGTGTGTTTTGAAACTAAGACACATGCTCTAAGAGAAGAAGAAAAAAATTTGATGTACCATAATCATGAAATTTGAAAATTATGAATAATATCATACTTAAAAGTTAATTAGGAATTAAGGACCATTTGAGATTCTTTTTCTTAAACAATTAGGCGGTTTGGGCATGCAATGTGTTTTGTTTTAAAAATTTTATAAATGTACTTTAATTCATCCGCTACAATACCAAAACACACAATATCATCAAAGGAATGAATTGATATAATTTGGTTTTAAAATTTCATCACCAAAAGTAGCTAGCCACAAAGTGTCATGGATTGGTGCTGGTAAGTGAAGTACATGAATAAATATTGAGTGATATGTCAAATACTAGCTATAATAAAGTTTGGGGAGAGTTCTTATGAGTGATATGTAAAATAATGAATAATATGTTATATAAATATGGGTGTATGGGTGTGTAGAAACTTGTACTTGCAGCAGTGTATTACATATTTGTGGTTGCTTATCAATAATTTGTAATATACGTACCGTGCATGTTTTTAATCCATTTTTTGATTTCATGTAATTCTGAATTTCAATGTTTAGTTTGTTAATTAAATCAACCTCTGGGCATTATTAATTAAAGAAATGGAAAATTTCATAAACTTCTTTGACTATCATTTTTTTCACAAAAATATATCATTTAATCTTATGTATTGAAGGATAATCATCTTCAACCATTCAATGTGTTAGGCGTGGGGTCTAAGAAGAGGGTGGGAGTTTATGTTAGACATGAAGTCGGGCAATAATTTTTTATTGGTCACAAAAACGTTCTCAATTTTTAAAAATCTATTTATTTGAATTTATAGTTATTTAGGTTATACCAAAATTTAAGAGTATTATAATAAGAAATGATTTGAAACTCATTATAGATATAACATGAAAATTAATATTAGTACATAGATAAATATAGATGTAAAAAAACTAAATAAAAAGTAAAATTGAGAACAATATTTGTTACTCTTAGATATAAAAGAGAATTCTATATTGTATTGATGTATGTGAGAGAAGACTGTATAGCGGTAGGCGGAACCAGGATCTTGAGGTTGGGGGGCCAAAATTATAAACAACTTGGTAGAACTTTTGAAAAAATATATATATATATTATGTAGGCAAAAAAATTTTACTATTTATTATATTCATACAAAAATATATCTATCTAAACTTTTCCCAATTTATTTAAATAAATAAAAAAAAACTAGTTATTTAAAGAAATTTTTTATCAAACTTTCTAAACAAACACAAATAAGATTTATGCCAAAATTATAAAAAAAATCAATTAAATATCTCTTTTTATTTGACGAAAAAAAAAACACACACACAAATTAATAAAATAAGAATTTAGATTCTTAAATCATCAATTTTGTAAAAATTAATTTCTTATAGAATTCTTACAAAACATTCCAATAAAAATAAATAAAATAAATAAAAGTGATGGAAAGAATCATGTATGAGATGAAATTTTAGGATAATAAGGTTATGGAAAGAATCGTGCTTGAATTAGAAAAATTTAAGATAGTAACATTATGGAAAAAACGATATTTGAGTTGAAATTTTAAGATAGCCACATTAAATTTTTATCGGGGTTCTATAGTCGTCGATTAAATCCCGTTCTTTTAGATTATATATAAACTATCTTTTGTTAAATGCTAATTAAAGAAATAATTTTTTTTTTCTTAGGGGGCCAAGTATAGATTTTATATCATCTATGTTATATTATTTTATTTTTAGTATATTTTTACCTATACTAAAAAAAATTCCAAAAAATTAAAATAATGGTGCGACAAGTCTGGTTTTGGTTCTTTAATTAGCATTTAACAAAAGATAGTTTTGGTTCTCTTACGTCTTACATAGTCTGGTTTTAATTTTTCATTTGGGTGCATCTCATTACCAGTTTTCACTAGGAATCAATAATGGTGCGACATCATGGTACCAGAGGTTGTACCTTTGTCACCTAGAAGGCATGATATGCATTTCCAAAAAATTAACATAATTTTGGTTCTCTTAGTCTTACCAGTTTTCACTACGAATCAATAATGGTGCGACATCATGGTACCAGGGGTTGTACCTTTGTCACCTAGAAGGTATGTTAATCGATGACTATAGAACTCCGATAAAAATTTAACGTGGCTATCTTAAAATTTCAACTCAAATATCGTTTTTTCTATAATATTACTATCTTAAATCTTTCTAATTCAAGCACGATTCTTTCCATAACCGTATTATCCTAAAATTTCATCTCATACATGATTCTTTCCATCACTTTTATTATTATTTTTTTTTATTGGAATGTTTTTGTAAGAATTCTATAAGAAATTAATTTTTACAAAATCGATGATTTAAGAATCTAAATTCTTATTTTATTAATTTGTGTGTTAACATCTAAATATTATTATAGGAACTCTTAAATTACTCCTTGATAGTGGCGTAGCCACATAAGGACAAGTGGGGGCATAACTCAGTTAAAAAAAGCCTGTATAGTTTTCTGGAAACAGTTTTTTGTTTTCTGAGTTCTTGAGAACTGTTTTTAGAAAACTGAGCCAATCAAGCCCTAACTTTTGGAAATATTTTGCACAAAGTGACCGTTCTCATACTTGAATCTCTCTCTTCAAGCTTGTCAGCCCGAGCTTTTACCACTGCACCAAGCACTGACCCCTGATTTTAAAAATAGCCTAGGACTTTTGCTGGGGAACTTTCAGTTTTCAGATTTGGATTGTGGTTTGATACGATGGTCTGTTCTCTATTTAGTTTCATAGTTCCTATTATATGTGTCTCTCCATTAATTTGGTGCAGTTGGCATTGGCTGCTTTGCGCAAGTCAAATGAAGTTCATGGTGTTTTTGACTTTGAGAGGTTTGAATTGCTTCTGCAAGTATTTAACAAATTAATTTCTTGCAGCTCACCTACCTTTCTTGGCTAAAAAATTGTTTTGTTTTGTCAAATGATTTCTGTGCAGATATCTTGGGAGCATCCTCTCTCACCAGCATCCTGCACACACCATCTCAGAGCTCACTGTTCCTCTGAATGCCATTGATTTTTTGGTATGACTATATCAAGTCAATTGTAATTCAATTTAGTTATGATGCTTACTTCTTTTCTTCTTTTTCTTGGCTATATTATTCCTATTTTAACTCTGTTCTCTAAAAATAGTTCAGAAGAACAAGATATTTAGCTGTTTCCAGAGAAACAGAAAGGCTTTTCTGAAATTTTGTTTTAGCTCAGTCAACCAAATGGATTTTAGATATACTTTTTTGGTTCTTTTCATCTTTGGGGAGAGAAAATTGCTCTCAAAACACTGAACCAAGCATTTCCATGGTTTTGTTAGCTCCACATACCTACTTTTAACTTTTTGCTGGCTTTCATTATAGGCAAGTAAACTTGAGACCGACTGCTGCGGATATGAAGCATGTTGACCGGAAGCTCAAATCATGTCGGGATCCTGGCTCACATGACAAGTACTATATTTACACTTGACATATATAGAAGTAACCATTTTTGCTTATCACGTGTCTGTGTGTGTGTAGTAGTGATTATTGTTAATCCAATCTTCTCTCTCGTGATAATTCATTGATTCAGTAGTAAGAAACGGAAGCACAGGTCCAGAGAGAGTTCAAACGCAATGCATAACATGCCTTCAGCACTGTATGTTCTGCCACATAATTTTGGTTCTCTTACGTCTTACATAGTCTGGTTTTAATTTTTCATTTGGGTGCATCTCATTACCAGTTTTCACTAGGAATCAATAATGGTGCGACATCATGCTACCAGGGGTTGTACCTTTGTCACCTAGAAGCACATATATTTTAGAAATTTTATCAGTTTTCCTTACTTTTGCTGTGATTTTATTTTGATGCAAATACAAGTATCTTCTGACATGATGTGGCAAATTTGATGGGTGACCGGATCTTTTTTCAACTTGCTCAAAAATATAGTAAATAAATAAAGTAGTAAATATAAATGGATAAAGAAATAGTGGGTTCCATCGTTTCTATGGTTACTTCTTAAACGGTGAGGCCTTCTCTATACACCGGAGCCCCTTACTTGATTTAATCAATGTTATTGGTAACTTGTACAGTTCACACTCTTTGGCTCTACCCATGAATTATCCAGTACTAGGTCTTTCACAATGAGATCTACCTATACAGTAACGGTATTAATTTTCTCTAATTTGAAGTAGGTATAAAACATTACACCTGTACTTGCATCTATGAATTCAACAGTTAGGCGACATCGTGGTTATCCATGGAGGATCTGCTATATGTTCTTTCATTAATGCAGTTTTTCTGTAATTGGATATAATTTCCATCATATTCCCATTTTTTAACTCAGCAGCCAGTTTCTTTGTCAAATTAAGAGAGTTGTTAAAATTTTCATAAAATGAGTTGTTCAAAAAATCATGTTTGGCATAACTCAGCACTTTTTTATGTTCCGGTTAAATGGGACAAGTGGCGATGGTGGGTTGTTGACTTGTTAAATTAAATGAACCAAGAGTCACAAAGAAGAGCAAAAATTCACATGCAGAGCAATAAAGCAAGTTACCAACAAATTCAGAACTATTAATAAATTCAGAACTTTTAATTCATTCTTTTTTATCACCTTTAGAAGGGAAGTGAATAAATTCATAATTGTTAAAAATCTAATACATTCAAAATTACTAATTCAATAATAAACAATCAGTCACAATTCAAAATTTAATAATAAACAATCAAAATTTAATAATATACAATCAGTCACAATTCAAAATTCAATCACCAAAATAATAATAATAATAATAATAATAATAATAATAAGAAAAAATAAATAAATTCATGTAATAAATTGATAAGACATAATTAAGAGTGGGTCATAGAATTGATAGTTTTTATGTTAGAAACTTCTAATTTGAATTGTATGATTATATTATATTATATTATATATATATATATATATATATATATAACATATATATATATATATATATATATAACATATCGGTCCTATACATTTCCATTTTCCAAACCATACCTCTTTCAAATCCTAATCCTTAAGTGATAATTATTCATAATTTACCCTTAGTGATAATTATCCATAATTTTCAAACCGCCTAACTGTTTAAAAAAAATAATCTCAAATGGTCCTTAATTCCTAATTAACTTTTTAAGTGATAATTAATCATAATTTTCAAATTTCATGGTTTTCATGGTTATATATCAAAAAAATCAAATTTTATTTGATATATGAGTAAGTGAATATTAGGATGATATTTAAAAGAAAAAAATAAAAATAAATATTGAGATGATAATTATTGGATCTATATATGTGTAATAAAATTTAAAGAAAAAAGAAAAGAAAGATCTCTAATAAATAAAAAATAAAAATAAAAATATTTGAACTAAAAATCCCATCGATCCTAACTATGAAATAAATCAACGCCAAGAAGATCGCACGAGAAAGGCAGGTGGGACCGTCCATCATGAAGATCAGATGAGAAAGGCAGGTGGGACAGTCCATGAATGGCAATTCTGTAGCTGCGGAGAAGATCAGGGATCTCAATGTTGACGTTGCTGATCCTGAGCGGGGCCGAGGCATGCACCACCAGATTCTTCCCCTCTTTCATGGTGGGCAACTCCGTCAACGGCGGTAGCCTCTCCAAATCAGAGGCGGTGAGCAACATGTTGGGCACGATGTGGAACCTCAAATTGCGAAGGTAGATATTGAAATTACAAGAATGGTGGAGGGAAGCGTCGTCGAGAGCGAACAACGTCATATTGTGAAGGCCCACTAGTTGATCGTACTCCCCCAGCAGCGCTACACTCAGCCTGCCATAACCGAGCGCCTGCAGATGCACCATCGCACTATTTAGCATCATCGCCATGGAATAAAGGAATGTCTCTGTCTCTGGGAACTGCTCAATAGTGGGTCGCGGCTGCGGATAAGGTACCAAAAACCGAGCACTTATCATTGATTGCTCGCACCGCCGGCACTGTGTGCATGGGTCTATGAATCCTTCCGTGGTTGAGATCGAGATCGAGATCATGAAGATAAAGATGGATGCTATTGAAACAGCTTTAGCCATGTGTAGGTGTAACAATTTGTTTAACTAAAAAGCCAAAAAATAAAAAATAAAAATAAGACTCACTCAAATAAAAAAGAACAACTCAGAGAAAAACTTATAACGCTCAATGATTTTTATTATTGGTCTATGCTTCTATTTATATACAAAAAGAAGATGAAATTATGGTAGGATTCTTTATGCTTGACACGTTATTTACATATAAAATTCATTCCATATACAATTTAAGTTTATTTCCTTCTACAATTCTTTCCATGTAGAATTTTTCCAAACCAAAACTTCTTTTCATTTAGGATTCTTTACCATGTAGGAATTGATTAATCTTGGACCATCTAACCCGAGAACCTGTCACTAATATTTTTGGTAGAAAAATAATTAAAAAATACCTTATGAGGTTGCTTATTCTCTATTATATATACCCTAATATATAGGGAGACACTGAACAATCTGAATATATATGGCTTGTTTGCTTTTAAGAACTCCTCCTCTTTTGGTAACACTTGGAATATATTCTATAGCATGTTACTCTGTTTTGTTAGAATATGTTCTATAATTAATATATATATATAACATTACTTTATATGGTAACTTTTTTAACTTACCGTTATTACCATATATAACATTATTTAATATATATATATATATATAACATTAGTAGCGGTCTTAATTTACCCTTATTACCATATATAACATTATTTTATATGATAATGACTTGCTCTCCACACATTACCTTTTCTATATAATACCGGGGCGGAGGGAAGGAGGGGCTGGCAGGGGCAATGGCCCCCCCTAATTTTTTGGAATTTTTTTTTTAGTATAGGTAAAAATATACTAAAAATAAAATAATATAACATAGATGATATAAAATCTATACTTGGCCCCCCTAAGAAAAAAAAAATTATTTCTTTAATTAGCATTTAACAAAAGATTGTTTATATATAATCTAAAAGAACCGGATTTAATCGACGACTATAGAACCCCAGAAAAATTTAATGTGGCTATCTTAAAATTTCAACTCAAATATCGTTTTTTCTATAATATTACTATCTTAAATCTTTCTAATTCAAGCACGATTCTTTCCATAACCTTATTATCCTAAAATTTCATCTCATACATGATTCTTTCCATCACTTTTAATTTTTTTTTTTTTTTTATTGGAATGTTTTTGTAAGAATTCTATAAGAAATTAATTTTTACAAAATCGATGATTTAAGAATCTAAATTCTTATTTTATTAATTTGTGTGTTAACATCTAAATATTATTATAGGAACTCTTAAATTACTCCTTGATAGTGGCGTAGCCACATAAGGACAAGTGGGGGCATAACTCAGTTAAAAAAAGCCTGTATAGTTTTCTGGAAACAGTTTTTTGTTTTCTGAGTTCTTGAGAAATGTTTTTAGAAAACTGAGCCAATCAAGCCCTAACTTTTGGAAATATTTTGCACAAAGTGACCGTTCTCATACTTGAATCTCTCTCTTCAAGCTTGTCAGCCCGAGCTCTTACCACTGCACCAAGCACTGACCCCTGATTTTAAAAATAGCCTAGGACTTTTGCTGGGGAACTTTCAGTTTTCAGATTTGGATTGTGGTTTGATACGATGGTCTGTTCTCTATTTAGTTTCATAGTTCCTATTATATGTGTCTCTCCATTAATTTGGTGCAGTTGGCATTGGCTGCTTTGCGCAAGTCAAATGAAGTTCATGGTGTTTTTGACTTTGAGAGGTTTGAATTGCTTCTGCAAGTATTTAACAAATTAATTTCTTGCAGCTCACCTACCTTTCTTGGCTAAAAAATTGTTTTGTTTTGTCAAATGATTTCTGTGCAGATATCTTGGGAGCATCCTCTCTCACCAGCATCCTGCACACACCATCTCAGAGCTCACTGTTCCTCTGAATGCCATTGATTTTTTGGTATGACTATATCAAGTCAATTGTAATTCAATTTAGTTATGATGCATACTTCTTTTCTTCTTTTTCTTGGCTATATTATTCCTATTTTAACTCTGTTCTCTAAAAATAGTTCAGAAGAACAAGATATTTTAGCTGTTTCTAGAGAAACAGAAAGGCTTTTCTGAAATTTTGTTTTAGCTCAGTCAACCAAATGGATTTTAGATATACTTTTTTGGTTCTTTTCATCTTTGGGGAGAGAAAATTGCTCTCAAAACACTGAACCAAGCATTTCCATGGTTCTGTTAGCTCCACATACCTACTTTTAACTTTTTGCTGGCTTTCATTATAAGCAAGTAAACTTGAGACCCCGACTGCTGCGGATATGAAGCATGTTGACCGGAAGCTCAAATCATGTCGGGATCCTGGCTCACATGACAAGTACTAT